ATTCTAGGCATCATTTTCTCATCTGTCAATCTGTCAGTTGGGAAATTGGGACTGATTAGTTTTAAGGTTTTCTCTGGCTCTAATATTCTGCACATCTGTGTGTAGAGTAAGAGCCACTTAAGAATGAGTGGGCAACTTCCCAGGTAGTGAAATTTCTACTTGTAGGCACCTAAACAGTAACTGGAACATAAGTTTTAAGGGACAATCATTCATTTACCAGAAGTTATTTTTTTTTTACATTCCTGCAATGTACCAGATATGGGGCTAAGAACTTGAAATAAAATGCTATTTAATTCTCTCAACCATGCCAGAGAGGTATTTACACTTGGGGAATTGGAACTGAGAGGCGAGTAATTGGTCTGAGATCACAAAGAGCTAGGAGTATACTCCAGATGTTCTGAGTATTTTTAATACCGAGCGTGAGGATGATCAAACAACCCCAAGAGAATGAACGCCCCTTCCTGTGCCTTCTGATTGTGTCAATTGCTCTCTAACCTTAGTTGTTCTCAGAGACTGATGTTGACCATTTGTTCTTCTGAGAACAGCATGGACAACTTTTATCTCCTGGAAATATGAAATCAGTACTATTTTAGACTTTACTACGCCTAAAAGCCCAAAACCACAACTGCTGAGAGTCAGGCTTCATCTCACCCTCTGCAGAGGCTAATGGTTCTGAAGGGGCTGGAAGCCTTGAAATGCTTAAGGCAGAATCCCCAGGAGTCCTTGAGTGCAAATCCCTAGATGTGTCCTTACCCTCCAAGTCGTCGCCTAGTATGAAACCCATGCTTACCTATACTTGGCCACCATTGAGGCAGTTTAAAAAGCAAGTGTCTTTACTCTTAACTTGCATCATATCGACTTTGGGAAACTGAGGATAGAACGTTCATGGAACAATAATTTACGGAGACGCCCCTGCCCTCTAGGACTGTGCTGGGCACCTGGGAGAGAGCAGAAAGTAGAGCAGTTCCCCTACCTTTTATGACATTTGTCTTCTAATTGACTCTTATACATACCTTTAGTTTATAAAACATTTGAGAAAGTGTGGAAACAGATGTTTTGATAAGTGGAATACTTTGAGTAAGTAAGTACTTTATTTGAATACCCAGGAATGATAGGGGACATACAAAATGTCTGTGGGTAAATGTTACAAACCATAGGCATAAACTATGATCATCCTATTTTTCCAAGCAAAAATTGAGACATGCAATAATTTGGCAATAATTTTTATTTTCTTAATGTTCTCTAAATTGATTCATATGAAAAGTTTCCCCAGACGCATAATAAAAATAAAATCATATTTAAGAATCTACTCCATGACTCACCTTTATTGAATAGATTAAAACCATATGCAATGCAAAACCCAGCAAAGCTATTAATAAGAAGACCATATTGTGTGTCTCTCGGGATCTCAAATTCTGAGCCGAGTACCTAGGCACAGAGTAGGCATTCTATAAATCTTGGTTAGCCACATGAGTCGGTGCTCAGATATCTATTTATACAGTGTTCGAACAGCGAGGATAAGTGTTCCCTGACAACGTCGAGCAGATGCAAGCTCATGGAGCAGGGAAACCTGAAGGAGCAGAGAGAAAGGCGCGTGCCTGATTGGTGGCACCACCGATGGTATCTGACACGCCTTTGGGACCGGAGGGCATTTTCAAATGAAAACACTAAAGTAAAACCCATGTCTTTCCTTTCAACAGGGCGTTGTGGCTGGCGCTCGTTCCAAAGGAGAACACAAACAGAAAATCTTTTTAACCATCTCCTTTGGAGGAATCAAAATCTTTGATGAGAAGACAGGGGTAAGTAAAAGAAGCACATGGCATTGTGCAATTGAATCCATTGACAGATGTGCCCTTAAAAGCCTGTCGGCGCTGGGCAGGAATATCAAACGAGCATAAAAACACATAAAGCAGCTGACAAACTTGATCAACTGTGATCGTCCATCAAAGGGGGGCTCTTCCCGGACTTGGCCACAGTGCGGCTGCACCATGTTTCTTAGCGTGTAATTGTGATAAAAGTGTCACCCGGTCCCGGGAATCTAATGGGAGATTGATGAGCTTTGAGGAGCGGTGGGCAATGTGACGGTTTAAGTTGAATTTCTTTGTGTGTTGGCAGCTTTAACGACATGCGTCCTAGAGGGAGACACATAGGGCTCTTTTGACTCGGTCAAAGCATCCAGACTCTCTTGAGTTTAACCTGTGGAACCTTGTAGTTGCTGCAATCAAAAAGAATAAATGGAGTTTTCCATCTTTTTTAAAAAAAATCTATCACTGCATGCCCAGGAAATGTAAGCACTAATATGTTTGTTGAACGAACCAAAGACATGGTTTTGTGTTTTCATCAGCCTCCCAGAGGCAATTAGCTCCCAGGTTCATCCCCAGGGCTTGTCTGACATTGTGGGTCCTGTGTATTGATGGTAAGGGAAAAACAGAAAAATAGTCTGTGACCTGTTCCGTTGAGAGGGCGAGCGTCAAATGGACATATTTGTCCTTTTACTCATGTATTCGCCTCCACTGAACTTCACAAGGTAATTTATCAAGCACTGTATAAACAATACTCTACTTGCCAAGTTAATTAACCTTTGTCATTTTGCATTATTTTTTTCTCCCCTCTGTTCTGACTCATACTAGGATAAAATGTCAGTAGTAGGGTGATTTAACAGTGAAAATGGGTCTTCCTGAAGAAAAGTTACTCCTGAATAGCTAGTCATAGGACAGATAAGGGCACACCCATGTTCGTAGCAGCTTTATTCACAATAGCTAAATGGTAGAAGCACCCCAGGGTCCTCCCATGGATGAACAGACAAGCCAAATGTGTATATGCAGACAATGGGATAATGTTCAGCAACGAAAGGAGGGAAGTTCTGCATATGCTACAACATGGATGAACCTTGAGGACATTTTTCAAAGTAAAATGAGCGAGTCACAAGAAGATAAATTCTGAAGGAGTCTACTTACCTGAGGTGTCCAGAGGAATCCAGTTCAGAGACAGAAAGTAGAATGGTGGATGCCAGGGCCCCAGGCCGGGCAGTGAAGAGTTAGTGTTAACTGGGGACAGAGTTTAAGTTTGGGAAGAAGACAGCAGTGCTGATGGAAGGCTGCAATGGTCACACCACCAGGAGAATGTGCTTTATGCCTCTTAAGAATGGTTAAAGTGGCAAATTTTATGTTATGTATATTTACCACAATAAAAATAACTGATGATAATAACTTCAGTTTATTGAGAACATGCTATATACTAGGTCCATATTAGTCACTTTACACACATTATTCAGTTTTCTCCTCACCAAGCCCTTTGAAATAATTGTAACAATAGGTCCTTCATCAAGCACATAATATGTGCCACGCGTTGTTGTCAGTCCTTTGTAAGTACCCACCCATTTAATCCTCACGGTAACCCTATGATGTAGGGCGTATTGTTACCTCCTTTTCATAGTTGAAGGTATCGAAGAGAGAAAAGTGTATTAACTAGCAGAAAGCAAGTGGCTGTGGAGACAGGATTTGAACCCGGGCAGTCTAGCTCACGAGTCTTTTCACTTAACAGCATTGCAGGTTCTCTCTCAGTATAAGTGGCTTTCCTAAGTTCACTAGCATGGAGGAGGCAGAACTGGGATTTAGCCTCCAGCTGACATGAGTCAAAACTCAACACAATTGACTTCCAGAGAGAGAGAAAGGTGGGGCTGCCTACCTGGGCTGCCTCAGTAGAAGGGAGGTGAGAATGAAGATATTAGCAACAGTAGTGAAGGAGTTTGAATGCTGCAAGATTAGGAGCCTAATGTAAACCTCTCCTATCTTCTGGAAAATCTGGTTTTCCTTTTCCTGGGCAGACTATAGATGGGACACCTGTGCTCAGTTTTGAACCACACATTTTAAAAAGGATAAAGCAAATCAAAGTATATCCTGGTAAAGGAGACTAGGGCAGTTGGGGGATGGGAAACTATGCTGAGCCAAAATTTCTTAACACACACATGGCCTCATGGGATCCTGGGTACACACAGGAGGCAGAGAGCTTTGGGCTTAGAGAAACGTGGAGGATATGGAGTCCTTAGCATCCTTTGTGGGAGGGAGTAAAGTAATACAGATCAAGCATGAGAGGGTTTCACAGTGATTCATATGCTGCAATCTTAGGTCATCATCTTTAGTCTCCCTACCCACCACCATGAAAACTGGCCTAACCAAAGGGACAGGAGTGAGGCAGAATATCAGATGCTTTATCTCGTTTGGGGGAATATTTTGAGGCCTTGCTGTTCTATCATGTACCCCACCACCAAGGAGGCTGTGCCCAGCTAATTAAAGTCCTAATCACCCAGTTTAACTAATGAAGTGAGGTAGTTTTATTCTTTACATTTATCTAAAACTCACTCAAGGGTAGCTAAGTTGTCCCCAAAGAAAGATATCACCAAATCTTATAATACTAGTTTTGATTCTCTAGCTGTACACAAAGAGAGAACAACAGTAAAAGCATTATTTAAGTCCAAAGCCATCTAGCCTTATGGAAAAAATGTCAGATCCCTCGTGGAGAATCAGATGGAAGGCAGAGTTCAATGTTGTCTGTCTGGCTTAATCCACTCTGGTTCTGTTTGATTAACATTGGGCCTCTGTAGCACCTGCTTTTGCATCCTCACCTTGTTAATGTGCCTGAATACAAGTCTGGGGAAGCTGGTGGAGAAGACTGAACGTGTGTAAGCCTGAAGTGGAGACGACAGGGAGCAGGGTACCCCATGTTAATAGTGTTCATCTCTCCAAAGAGTTGTGTGGTAGAAGGTGGTGATTTGTTCTGTGTGACTCACGAATAGAATCAGACCTGGTGATAGGAGTTTCTCGGAAGCAGTTTCAGTTTATGCGTAAGAAGAATTTTCTACCACTCAGAGCTATTGAGCAGTTAGGTGTAGTGCCTTCTGTGCAAGTGAGTTCACGGTGGCTGGGAATATTCAAGCAAGAACCATAAGAAGGGAAATTGTGGGAGTTGAGTAGAAATGAAGTGAGCTAAGTCACATCTAAGGTGATGACACTATTTTTAAGATTCTTTGTCTCCCTTAAAATAAATTCCTTTCAGTATGACTTATCTTCAGATAAATAGAGGTTTTACAAAACCTTCATTGGCGATTACAAGCAGGAAAGATTTCTTAAACCTTTGTCATTGCCCAGCAGGGGACCGATTGAATTGTGCAGGGTAAGAGTCTAAGTGAAGTATTCTGTCCTAAATATCAAAGAAAAGGAAAACTGGGTCTTTGTCATTTGGAATGTCCAATTTTAGTTGTTTATCATGTCTGAAGTATTTCTGCTCAAGCTTAACTGCACTTTTTTTTAAACCAAGAAAAGAAACATTTGCAGAACGTGACAATAGCTAGAATTTTTAAATCCAAAAGCTGTCAAAAATGTTTTGATCCCAATTAAAGAGACCCTTTTCAGCAATTTACACCTTGTCTTGAATTTCAAAGGATTCTTGATCCCAATCCTTATATGAGTACATTTTGTTTTATTATTAGCATGTTTCAGGGAATAAGTCAGTATTGAAAGCTGTTCCTATTTTCAGAGACCGAGATATTGGTACTATGTCAAAGGAATCCATGAGAAGGTGAAAAATGCCATATATATAAATTCATTGTTGTTAGTGACAGTGGAAGCAGTAGCAAATCAGGAATGGTTTCATATCAATAAGTTACTGGGTCCTCAAATCAGACCAGTGGACACGGAGGCAAAAGTGAGGTCATGTTTATGTTGCAGATAAGGAAACAGGCTCTGCAAGGGTCCCTGTCTTGCTGTAGACTCAGAACAGACCTTCCAACTCCAAATCCTGTGTCTTTCCAGGGAAACTCATTAAACTCACTTATTGTCACATTTACAGTTTTGTTCCATAAAATTATTATAATTTTATGCCATAAAAAATCATCAATATTTCAGGATCCTAAAGAGAAATCTGTTTCTCAGGATGGAGGACAGTGGTCTGCATCATCTTTTCAGGATGATGTAGCATCTTGTTGCCACAATCCCGTATGAATTTTGCTTGTTCATTCGGTTTAGCCATCACTGATCTGGCACTATTATGTGCACCATTCTAAGTGCATTACAACAATTCAGTGAAGTATATATGCTGTTATTCTCACCATTTCACAGATGAGAAAGCTGAGGGCCAAATCATTTAAGTCACACAGCTACTGAGGGCAGAACAGAGATTCAAGCCCAGGTAGTCTGGCCCAGAATCCTTGATGCTAGTAAGATATTGCCAATTATAACAGACCTACCTTAACAAAATACCATAACTAAGTGACTTATGAACAACAAGCATTTATTTCTCACAGTTCTGAAGGCTGGGAAGTCCAAGATGATGGCCCCACCAGATTCAGTGTCTTGCGAGAGAGCCTACTTCCTTATAGAGGGCATCATTTTGCTATGTGCTCAAGTGGTAGAAGGGTCAGGATGCTGTCTAGGGCCTTCTTTCTAAGGACACTAATCACATTCATGAGGGTTCCATCCTTATGACCCTCAAAGGCCCCACCTCTTAGTACCGTCACCTTGAGAGTTAGAATGGGAGGGGTGCACAGAATGGGAGGGGTGCACAGAAATATTGAGACCATAGCAATAACAAATTTTATTTTATTTTATTTTATTTTTTTTTTTAATATATATTTTATTGATTTTATATTAGAACAGATTCCATGTCAGCCCTGTCTTATTGTCACCGTTGTTCACTTTCTGATGAGCTTTCCTGAGTGAAGACAAAAGGGTGGAGTTACAATGAGGATTTCTGGTGGACACAATGTTGGCAGTGGAACTAATACCTGGTCAGGCGGCACCGT